TTACATACTTATTGCAAATATGATTTAATATTTGAGATAAAATGTTAACGTATAACAATAAGAAAGATTAATATAAATTTTATTTTTTCAACTTTACAGTTAATTTTTTCAAGCTAAAGAAGTTCGTTATTTTTCTATTAAATTCGTTAAACTTGACTTTATACAAAAAAATCGAACTTTTTCATTAAAGCTTCATAATATAAATAGATAGACTGGTATCGTATACCGAAGGGTGCGCTCGGTTTAACATTAATAATGGCCATGTTAGATGCTACGATCAAACTTACAGCCGGAATATTTATGGATTTATCTTTGGCCAGTTTTTGCAGCGTGAGTAAAAATATAGATAGAATTATTTTCATTTATAGAATTATTTTCAATGTCGTTATTCATAAGAAATAGATGTGCAAGGGAAAAATTTCAGATAGTAAAAGCGGCCGTGGCTTACTTGAATTTACTTCGTACCTTTTACGTTTAATACGGTGATATCATCGTTACGGGATGTATTATAGTAACATGAGCGTTAAAATATATTTAATAAAAATTAGATATAATATATATTCGCGCGCGTTAATAAATCGTGTCACATAAATTATCATTTACGTAAATGTAAGCTTGAAATCGGTAGAAATCCGGCACTCCCCTCGCCCCTCCCCGGGGGCGAGGGAGTCTTCCCCCTCCCATAAAGAGGGGGCTACCGGGCCATATACCGGACCTGTACCATTTCATGGTCAGGTTCGGGAACCCGGTAGGCGAAGATTTCCCCGCGTAAAAAAAAAAGTATTAAAACTGTAAATTAACTAATTATATCTTAATAAAATCTAAAGCTATGTTATATATACGCAAACTTACGCGCAAAGTGCATACAGCTATATCCTTACGCATTTACTCTACTCTATTGACTGTAATTCTGACTACTTTCCAACGTTGCGTTACGCACTATGGAAATGACGGGGATTGCGTATATCCGTCAGCAACTATGTTAGAACTCGTAAACTTTATATCGTTACGCACTTTCATGCGTAATCATCAGTCATGCAATGACTGGGAAAAGGAGACAGTCCCTCGTGCACGCACGTCTTCCCCTTGCCTTGTTACATATGACAGGCATACGGGACGCACCTGCACGCGATCTCGGAATCGTTATTTCCTCGCGCTTGCGTCGCCACCAGACATCGAGACGCTGCCGTATGCGTATTTCAGTCAGCGTTGCAGCCTGCGGACGACAGCATGCGCGATCGATCCCAACTTCCAGGCAAGATACACAATGTAGAATATGAACACGACATACGCTACGCCGTGCAACTGTGTCGGTGGATTCTGAATCCAATCGGTATCTGGCACCTGATTTACGGTCGTTCGTCGCAAAGCGAGAAGCTTCTTTCATTAATGCTGATCCTCGCGTGCTTCTTCAGTCTGTGCTTCGTGCTTGTACCCGCCATTCCGTACATTTTGCTCCGCGAGAAGGACATCGACATCAAGGTCAAGCTCTTCGGACCGGTCGGCTTTTGTCTAACTTCCGCGATCAAGTATTGCTTCCTCAGAGCGCGCGTCTTGGCGATCGGAAGATGCGTCGAACATGTCGAGAGTGATTGGCAGGTCGTGCGACATCAGGATCACCGTAAAATGATGTTGAGAAACGCGCTGATAGGCCGCAGACTAACGACGCTGTGCGTAATTTTTCTTTACACTGGCGGCATGTCCTATCATACGATCATGCCATTGTCCAGTGCCATTGCCAACACGAAGACGAACGGTAGCTTCACGAGCAGACCATTAGTTTATCCGGGATATGATATATATTTCGACCCTCAAGCAAGTCCCGCTTATGAGATCGTCTTTTTCATGCACTGTCTGTCCGCTATGATACAGTATAGCGCTACGACGGCAGCGTGTAGTCTGGCTGCGACCTTTGCGACGCACGCATGCGGTCAAGTGCAAATATTGATGACACTTTTGGACGATCTAGTCGATGGAAAGAGGATTAAAGGCACGGTGGAGAAACGTCTGAGCTTGATAGCGAAGCATCACGTGCGTGTGCTGAGGTGAGACGAAAACGGGGAAAGTGCCGGGTTAGTTTGCACGAACGCGTTTCTATTAGACATTTGGGGTAGATACATGGCGCGTTTCTAGATTTACGGCCGATGTGGAGGAAATATTACGTGAAATATGCTTACTGGAATTGGTGGCCGCAACCTTGATTATATGTTTGCTCGAATACTATTGCTTAATGGTAAGGAGATTACGATAGCGGACATCACATCTTTCTGAATATTATTAAGTTCTGTCGTGCTCTTCGTAGTATAGCTGATGTTTCTTTAATATTATAATAATTGTAACGAAACAGATAGAATCGTCTTCTTTCACTGATAAATTGTAAGGTAAATATACCAATGTCTGGATGTACGTACTTATGTCTGGACATTTTTATCATTTTAGTTCCTTAAATAAGTTATAACGCGAATTAAAATAAAAAAATCAAAAATAAAAATATTTGTCTTATATTATATTTTTATCTTTCATTTTAATTCGTGTTACACTCATTTAAAAACTAAAATAGTAAAGGTGTCTGGACATAGATCTTAAGTGTCACGGCATTGGTATATACATTTACCTTAAACATCTAGGCTGCATTCCCTTTGGACGCTTTCGTGCTGAAAGCGTATTCTATTTTTATTGCACATTATATGTTAAAGAAAGATAGAATGACGCTTTCAGTACGAAAGCTTCCAAAGGGAAACGCAGTCCTAGTTATACGTTTGTCTTCTCAGGAATGGGAGAATAGCGACGCCGTGGCCATTTTCACGTATTTTATTTTATTGATATCTTTAACGTTCAACATTCTGATATTTTGTTATATCGGCCAACTCCTCGTGGAAGAGGTATTTTTTTATGGTATTGCTGATAATAAAAATTTTTTTATAGACGTATCTTCAGTTATTGAATTCTATAAAAGTCCGTAGTGTATCAACCCTATTTCGAATAAATTGTAATAAACATGATTGTAATATTCAATTATTTCTATTTTTATTAGTTTAGCAAAATCGGTTCGGCTGCGTATGAGGTTAATTGGTATAATTTGTCCGGCCATCAGGCTGTTGATCTTGTTATGATCATCACAATGTCCCATTACCCACCTAAACTTACGGCTGGCAAGTTCTGCGATTTATCCCTTAATACTTTCAGCACCGTGAGTCTCAAAAATAACTATCGTTATTGCTTGTGTAAACTGTATACCTACATAACCCATTTATATATTTATTTCTTTATATTTATTTTATATTAATTTACTTGTTATTGTTACCTAATTATTATTAATTTAATATTATTAAATTCACGTTTCTAAAGTTTACATTGTTTTTAGGTACTTAAAACATCCGTAGTGTATTTAAATTTACTTCGGACAGTTACGCAATGAAATTTATACATTCCTTATTATTGTTCCTAGCAGCAAGTTTGTTATAGATACGGATATATTTTTTGCCAACAAATATTGTATAGAAATCGATAATAAATTAACATATATCACATTCATTATCTCATTCACTCAGTCTTAAAACAGGTAAAATATTAATATAAGCGAAATTAAATCATATATAATAACTCATTATTATGATTTAATTGATCCTGAGGCCAAAAATGTATCGTGTTTAAAAATTAAAATTTAAAATTAAAATTTAATTAAATTTACTATATCAGGAAAAATTAGAAAAGCAACTGTATTGTAAAACAATATATAAAATCCATACTTATATCATATGTGATGCTTTAACAATATGAAGTCATCAACAATACGTTATTTGAAAGATATTAAAGCTACGCACTGTGTACAGAACTATATATTAGAACTTGTCATAAACTTTCAACCCCTTTGCGCTTGCACATCATTGAACGAGCAATGACCGGGGGGAAAAGTCAATCCGTTCTCATACGCATGACTACGAGCACCTCATATCCATCATACATGACAGACATGAAACGCACATGCACGCGATACTGGAATCATTATTTCCCCGCGCTTGCGTCGCGGAAACGGAAGGTCGCGCAACGTCCGCGTGTTTCAGTCGTCGTTATACATCGCGGGCGACAGCATGCACGATCGATCATCCCGACTTACAGGAAAGATGCTCGAGATGTACAATGTACACCATGAGCACGACATACGCTACACCATGCAGCTGTGCCGCTGGGTTCTGAAGCCGATCGGCATGTGGCACCCGATCTACGGCCATCATCCGTCGCGGAACGAGAAGCTCGTCTCGATAGCGTTGATCGTCACGTGCTTCTCCGCTCTGTGTTTCGTCCTGATACCCGCCGGACTGTACACTCTGTTTCGCGAAAAGAATATCAACATCAAAGTCAAGCTCTTCGGTCCAATTGGCTTCTGCCTGACTAGCACGATCAAGTATTGTTACCTCGGTGCGCGCGCTGCCGCATTCGGAAAATGCATTCAACACGTCGAGGACGACTGGCGAGTCATGCAATATCAAGATCATCGCGGAATAATGCTGAAGAACGCGCTGATTGGACGCAGGATTACCACGCTGTGCGCGCTTTTCCTGTACATCGGTGGACTGTCCTACCACACAATCATGCCGTTATCTTCCAGACGGAAGATCAACGAAAATTACACGATCAGATTACACACTTATCCCGGTTACGATCTGTTTTTCGATCCCCAAGCCAGCCCCGCTTACGAGATCGTGTTCTGCGTTCACTGCCTGTTCGCGCTGGTCACGTATAACATCACGACGGCAGCGTGTAGCTTGGCGGCGATTTTTGTGACGCACGCGTGCGGACAAGTACAAATACTAATGACGTTGTTGGACGACTTGATCGAAGGAAAATGGAGCAAGGGCACCACCGTGAAGGACCGGCTAAGTATGATAGCGAAGCATCATGTGCGAGTACTGAGGTAAGTAGAAAGTGTGATGAGAGTGTCCAAGTAGATACACACGACGCGTAATTTTCTAGATTTTCGGATAGATACGTGACACGCTTCTAGATTTTCGACCAACGTGGAGGAAGTGCTACGCGAAATATGTTTAATGGAAATAGTGGCATCCACTTTAATCATATGTTTGCTTGAGCATTATTGCCTAACGGTAAAGAGAAAGATACTATAATATAACGTCACGATAATTGTGATGGCCTTTTCTAAAAGCAGTGTACAGATTTAGTTTGCCAGGTTCTGGTTTTGTCGAACTTTACAATAGTACATTTTACCTTCCATTTTACCTGATCTTCCTAGGAGTGGGAAAACAGTGACGCCGTGGCGATCTTGACATATTTCATCTTGTTGATATCCTTTACGTTCAACATTCTAATATTTTGTTATATCGGTGAACTCCTCGTGGAACAGGTAATTTTCATAATGTTTTTAGGATATAAGAAAGTTTTTCACAGGCTTATTTTTAACTATATCACGTTAATTAGTTTAATTCTGCAATACAAAAATTTATAACAGAAAAGAGAGAAAATATAATTATTAATATCTTTTTGTTAAAGTACTTCAAAATATTTTTGTTTAAAATGTACTTTATTTAAGCTGTGTTCCCATATTCACTGCCAGTACTAAAAATCTGTAGTTTACGTCACGCATACTATAAATTTTCAGTACTGACAGTAAATATGGGAACACAGTCTTTAATTATTAAGATCTTGTGCAAAATCTCTCAGCGGCATTAGTTGTCCAGTTAAATACAAACATGGTACGGCTTTAAAATTTATAATCTATGTACAGTGAATTTTAAAGTAGATAATAGTTTTGTATTTGTAATGTTGCATTACAAATAATATGAATACATTTATACTAATGTTTTACTTTCATCAGTATAGCAAAATTGGTTCCGCTGTCTACGAAATCAATTGGTACAGTTTATCTGGGAATAAAGCTCTTAGTCTCGTGCTAATCATCGCGATGTCTCATTACCCGCCTAAACTCACAGCTGGCAAAATTTTCGATTTATCCATTAATACATTCGGTGCAGTGAGTTTCTCACACAATTATTGTTATTACTCAAGTAATTTGCTGAACTTGATTAATAACGTGTCTTTGTATATTTTTTCTTTCTTAGTTTTTGTAATTCTCAGACTATTATCGCTTTCAGGTACTCAAAACATCGGTAGTGTATTTAAATTTACTTCGTACGGTTACGGAATAGAATTTACGTTACATGTAGATAGCCCTTATTACTTAAAATTTGACAGATAGATATATTTTTATTATAATAAATATATTGTATAGAAAAAAATATATATATATATTAATAAAATAACTATATATTGTCGATCAAAATATTTTTTATATATACTATGTGTACATATAGCATTCTGCTGATCGCGTATTTATGCATGCTCAAATAGCTGCAGCAAGAAAATCCGAAATAGAGCAACAAATTAGCAACAAAAGAATATTAAATTTCTATACATGTTTTATTCGAAAGTTTTATTTTTTATGCTAAAATGGCTATGTCAGCTTGATAAACGTTGCTCAAATATATTTCATAGAAAAAGAACAGATGTTACTATAATATTAATTTCAATTTTTACTTACTAAATCATATTTTACAAATTAATCAAAAAATATTTCCAAATTTAAGGCAGTGTGAGTGTAGTCACTTTTATGTAATAATATTGTAAGCTGATAACATGTAACTCAAGCTATACATCTCTCTTCAGCATAAAATCGATTTTTCAAGTCTGTGGTATCCTCTCCTCCCTTTATACTTTTCTCCTTCTTTTGTTCTCCCTAATATATCACTGAAAGTACTGATTGTGGTCATGCGCAAATTTTCTACAGTTTTACAATCGACGGTATTAGTCAGTCGTTCGCGCACCTTCGACATCCTTCGCAAATATTATACGAAATTGGATATACAGTGCAGCAAAGTCGGGCATATTTCGTTTAAAATTGAATGGTATAATTTACCGGGAAAAGTCGCTCTTAACCTGATGTTGATAATCAATATGTCTCGACATTCGGTGCAAATTACCGCTGGAAGATTGATAAGTTTCTCTTTCGCTAATTTTGGAAATGTAAGTATAATTCAAAATGTGTAAGTCTTATTTCAAAATAGAAATACATTAAATGTAAAAGAATGAAAATGATTAAATTTAAACAAAGTTTGTAGCAAGTAGAATTTAGTACGATAATAGTTCATGCACTGCACTTTGTAGGTTCTGAAAACATCGGTCGCATATTTAAACTTGCTCCGAACTGCCGTTTGACAGAACGTAAAATAACATGCAATCATTCAGATTCTCTCTGGCGCAAAAAACATTATTAAATATTTTTTAAGATAAAAATGTATGCATGTTAAATAAACTATTTAATGCATAAATTACATCTATAAAAAATTCATGTTAGTTTTAAAATTAAGAAATAAGACTGATTAAATAAGACGTTTTACCTGTATGTTTCTAAAAGATGAAAACAGATAATATACATATTTATGAATACACTTTTAACAAAACAATATTTCTAAAAAAAAGTATACCTGTTATTAAGACACGATATTCAACTTTTCTGCCTCCATAAATCACTCCATTTTAAATCATATCATTTTATTTAATTTAAAAAGACAGCTTAATCGCTCAGTGAAAAAAATGCACAGAAATAGCGCAAGCAGTTTTGCATGTTGCAGAAAAACCCTTTGTGTAGGTAGTAATACAACCGTCTCTTCTGTGACAGCAATGTTCCCCTCGATAAAATTGTTTTTTCGTGCGCGTGCATGCTATCTTTTTTCTTTCCCATCCAAACTTTGTCGAAAGCATCTGCGATTGTCATGCGCAATTTTTTACTATCACGCTATCGACAAAGTCTTTGTCGATAGCGTGATGGTAAACCAGTCGTTCTCGAATCAGTCGTTCGCGTACCCTCGAAACGGTAGTATGGCCAAGCTTAATCTCTTGGTCGAATGTGAATTGCAAGAGGGAACGAGTGCTCGGAATTTGGCCACTGGTATATATTCAGACACCCCTCAACGATCGAGAAGATTTTGGCGACGATATCATTTGTGTTATACTAATCTGGGCTCAATTTCTTTCTGATTAGTTCTCGAAACATACTACCACAAGTGATAGAATCAAATTGTTAGCTCCGCTAAACAATAAACTATGTCTATGACAATACTAAAATATTTTTTCCTAGTGATTCATCATAAGAGCATTCGGCAATGTATTCGCGTGCTAAGTGTCGATTGACGTGTGGTCCAGCAAGAGGATCATCGAAAAATCGTGATTAAGAATACGGCCAAAAGCCATGTGTTATCCAAATTTTGTGTAATACTCATGTGTATATATATACTTGGCATACTGTGATGTCGTTTCTGTCGCACATCGCAATCGATAAACAGAATATCACTGTTAGACCAATATCTTACCCCGGCTTCGATACCATTTTTTACTTCCATTTTATCCCGACTTATGTGTTGATTTTTTGTGCGCAATGGTTATCTGCTACCGTCTTATCCAACGTCGCGGTGGCGGCGATGTGTTGCTTGGCAGTTATGTTCGTAGCTCACGCTTGCGATCAAATTGAAGTCGTGATGGCATAGAAAGCCTTGTAAAAAGTGCACAAAGCAGTCGCATGTATTCCAAGCTACGTGTGGCAGTTATCATATATCATGAAACACCACGTGCAGTCATTGAGGTGAGTGTTGCATCATTGCAGAAAAAATTGTCTGTATTCTATAATTGTCTAAATAGAAATTTTATATGAATAAGCAAATAAATAAGATATATATGCAAAAGATATATACAAAAGAAGAAAAGTGGATAATTTTTTAATTTTTATAAATATATAAAGATTTACTTTATAAATAGAAATTAATATAAATTTAGCTTCTATTAACTGTTCTCAATGTTACCTCGTTTTGCTTCTTTTGTAAAAAAAAAAAGTTTAAACACATTTTTGTATCATATGTTCACTGTTAAATACGGATTATTAACATTTCATACGTTCTTTTATATGCAATTCTTATTTGTTTAAAAAAGAAAATTTTGTAATGTAAACACATGCGTTTTTAATTTAATGAGAAAATTATTAGTAAAATAAATAATTTCATATTTTGTTATCGTCACAGGAATGGAATAACAACAATATAGCATAGCTCTTTTGTCATATTTCTTTCTATGGTTATCGAATATCTTCAACGTTTTCACGCTTTGCTACATCAATAAACATTTAACAAATCAAATGTTTATACTTAAATTCTTAACAATAAAATAAATTAAATTAAATGTCGAAACATTTGGCTAGTGCTACTCCATTTACATTTACTTATATCGTTTTTCTAAATACACACTTCAATTTCAAAACTGTCATCAAAGATAAACATGATAGAAAACAATATGATTTTTAACCCTTAAATGACCAGTGGGGTCCAGCGGACCCCAGACCCTTTAAAATGAAATGTTTTCAAATGTTTTTGCCAAAAATAGAGCTCATGCTCCCATTAATGATAGTTGAGTGATTGACCTACCCGTGTGTACACTTAGCAGTACTCAGTTTACTTAATTTTTTATACTATGTCGAAATTGAAATTTAAACAATATTAGCATTTTATACTCTTTTCTAGACCTTGAACAACATTGAAAAAAATTGTCATAACTAAAGATCAAAAAATCAATGAGTAAGGAGACATTTTTCATGCTAGGGTCTTTTAGACCCCTCAGTGAACTTACGAGATTCTTGAGAGGTGTGGCATTTAAGGGTTAATATACACACTTGTATCTCCAATGCACTTATATTTTATATTAGCAATAAATCTTCATTTTGCATTTTATTTAAATCTCGCATTTTCAAAAAAATAAATAAATAAACTACGACAGGAGTTTATCTTGAAATCATCACTTTTTCGCCAATTATTTGGTCTGTTTCTTTTAGCTGCACTGACTGAACTGGTGCACACAAAATATACTTGTCTCACTCTAACTTATTGCACCAGTTCAGCCTAGTTCAACCAGTACAGCTAAAAGAAACAGACAGAATGTGTTTTTACGGCAATGCTAGAGTTTCGAACAAAAACGCTTCACACAATGTCAGACGGTGAACTGTGCGCAGACAGAAAAATGTCTGCAATTTGAGCGCAAGCGTATATTCGACGACCTTGCAATCAATACCGCGCGTCTACCCGGTCTACGGTAGACCGTCTACCTCGTGCAGTCTTTATCAGCCGCCGTGACCACGAACATGTCAAGTGCACGAAACGACCAGGATCTCAGCTATCAGCAAGACATTCGATATGTCTTTAAGCTGAATAACTGGATTCTGGGTTCAATCGGCATCTGGCCAATCTCGGTTCGAGGTATCGGACGGCACGTGTCCAAAATCGCAATCGCGCTCGGTAATCTCGCGTTAAGTTTCGCGATGGTCCCTTGCGCCTTACACATCGTGTACGACGAGAAGGACATCATCATGAGACTGAAGCTGTGCGGTCTGCTGGCCTTCTGCCTCACCGCGATGACGAAGTATTGTATTCTCGCGATACGTCGCCCTAAGATACTGCGCTGTATCGAATGCGTAAAGAATGATTGGTGGCAGGTCGGTGTTGTCAATAATTAATTATATAATGTATTATGCTAATTAATTTGCAGAATTCACCACGAAGTACTGAGAATGGATTGAATTTGTGATCTCGTATAAATTAGTGTGACGTCGGGAGATTTTAAAATAAATTACTTTTAATCTTTTAAAACTATGATTTTTGCCGTCGTTTAAAAAGTGTATCTTACAGAATTATAACGTAATATTTAAAATAATATTCAGCACAGTGTGGATTAATTGAATTTTTCTTTTCTATAACTTCAATTTATAAAGGAAAAAGAGCAATAGTTAGATAATTAACACTGCGCGGACACCGTGTTTTTGGAGCACTCACCCGGGCACCCTGGGACTTTTAAGTCCAAAGGGTTTTTGAAAGCGTTTCTGTGTACAAAAAAATCTATAAAAATTTATATTTCATCTTTAAGGTTTCAAAAAGTGATTTCTATACTTACATATGCCGGAACTGTTGCACTTTTTTCCCCCATTCCCGTGGAAATCATATTATAAATAAAAAATCGACTGTGCCTTAAAAGGCCCATCGGTGTCCGTGCAGTGTTAAATTGATAAACGGTGATCTTTTATTTATTTATCGGAAAATAAAAATTACTGTCAATACTGTGACAGGTGACGTTCAAATCCGATCGGGAACTAATGCTGAAATACGCTACCATCGGGCGCAATCTAACGATAATTGGCGCATCTTTTATGTACACCGCCGGCATCATTTATTACATGATTCTGATTCCGTTTTTTTCCGAGAACAAAATCAACAATCACACCGTCAGACCACTTGTATATCCGACTTACAGTGAATTTCGCCAATCTCAGATTAGCCCAATATACGAAATTGTATATGTGGCTCACTGCATGTGCGGATACACCATATACTCGATAACAGCCGGTGCGTGCGGATTGGCCGCTCTGTTCGCAACTCATGCGTGTGGCCAGATCCAAGTGATCGTATCGCGATTGGAAGATCTCTTAAACGGCAAAAACCCGAACATTCATCAACGAATCGCTGTCATCGTGAAGGATCATGTCCGCGTAGTAAGGTAATACCTCAGAGCAACAGCTCATTAAAAATTCATGACCATTCAATGATATAAAGAAATGTTAAACTGTAGTTAAAATTTGTTAATAATTTGCAGTCTAAATTGTAACTGATAAAAAGATTTTGAAAATATCTAATAACAAATTATTTTTCGTATAACACTGTCTCTCGTATAACACTGCTTATAATTCGATTAATATTAATTAATTTAGTTCAGAAATAATGTTACGTATTTATTTCATCACGCCCAATTTGATAACAAAAGAATTAATGTAATTGCAAAATGCTGCATAATTTCGTTCATATAATTCTACTTTCATCTCGTTTTACGTATAAAGAATGTGATAGAGAATGCAACAGGTGGTCTCAACGAATATGCAATACATTCCAGTAAAACGGTGCTATTACATGTCAAACAATGGCTATAAGCATGCGTTATTGTAGATATACTGATAAGTGTATGCTATAGATATAATATGCTGCGTACTTATACTACACAACAGCAAATACGCAGTTATGGTTAGAGTAAAAATGTACGGGACAATGCATAAAGTTTTCTCGTACAAGTCAGGGTGATTTATTGCAGGTTTTCAGCCGTGGTGGAGGAAATTTTACAAGAAGTATGTTTAGTGGAGTTCACTAGTTCTGTATGCACGATATGTCTACTCGAATATTACTGTATAGTGGTGCGCTAATATATACCGTATACTTAAAAAAAAAAAAAGAAAAAAAAACATAACCAGTAGCGCGAAAAACCCTAAAATTATATTTGCTACTTAAAATTTAATAGGATTGGCAAGAGGACAATAAGCTTAGCTTAGCAACATATTTTTTACTCTTCATTTCATTCTGCTTCAATATATACATATTATGTTATATTGGCGAGCTTCTCATGGAAAAGGTATAATTATGTTTTTCAGACAATTTTAAAGTTCGATAACTTTAAAAATAATAATTGAATAATCGTTCACAACCGATGTTGCAGAGCAGTCAAATTGGATCAATGTGCTACATGATCAATTGGTATCAATTATCGCCAAGATCAGTACGCAATCTTATATTGATAATCGCGATGTCCAGTCATCCAATAAAACTTAGTGCCGGTAGAATGGTAGACTTATCATTAACAACTTTTGGAAATGTGAGGAATACATTTATTAATTTCATTCCCTATTTTCCCCTCCCCTCCGTTCTCTATCTTACCATCTTCTATTCTACCTTTTATTTATCTATTTTAAAGTAAAATTATTTTATTAAAAAAACCAATCTCCAGAATTATTTAATAATCTTGTATGATTTTAGCAATAAATTTTATTACAAAAATTGTAAGAAGCTAAATTACGACTTAAGAAATATTATCATATTTTAATATAATTTTTTTAGGTATTGAAAACTAGCGTGGCGTATCTGAGCTTCCTACGGACATTAGTCATGTAAATTAATATACATAATAATAATATCTAGAATAATATCATGTCAGATGTAGATATACCTATAGTCGCATTTTTTTCCCTGTTAATTATGCTGAGCTGTTCGTACACAAACAATTCGTAATTTCCCTTTTTATTTTTTTTAACACTTTCTAACAATTAATTTACCATTGACAATTAAATAAAGCAGAAAATATTAAACTATGAACAATTTTCTAAATTTTACCCAACCTGTTTGATTTCTTAAATAACCGATTAATATCTATTTTTATCAATGCAGATTAACTTTAATCTTGGTTCACAATTTACTTTTCATCTTTTTCTAGTTCTAAGAATTAGAAAAAGATAAAGAATAAGTTAAACCGAGATTAAAGTCAATCTACATTGGTAGAAATAAACATCACCAAAATCGGAAAAATTTAGAACGGCAAAAATGCTCCTTCGATTTAGAATTGCCGAGATGTAAAATATGTTCTGCATGGCACGATTAATAGCGTGTACACGATCTGTCAGGCTATCATTGACTGGCATTGCAAAAAGATATACCTGCAATGTCAGCGCAAGCGCACGTCCCGCGACCTTGCAATCAATGCCGCGCATCCGCCTGTTCTTGCAGTCTTCGGCGAAATCTGTCACCGCAACCATGTCCAGTATACGCGATAGGTCCGCGACATCGCAGAACTCCAGTTATCAGCGAGACATTCAATATGTCTTCAAGTTGAACAACTGGATTCTGGGCTCGCTCGGCATTTGGCCAGTCGCGATACGTGGCATTGGACAGCACGTGTCCAAGATCGCGATCGCGATCTTTAATCTCGCGTTGAGCTTCGCGATAGTGCCCTGCGCTCTACATATCGTCTATGATGAAAGGGACATCATCTTAAGGCTGAAGCTCTTCGGACTGCTGGCTTTCTGCCTTACCGCGATGACAAAGTACTGCATCTTCGTGATACGTCGCCCTAAGATACATCGTTGCATCGAATATGTGAAGAGCGATTGGTGGCAGGTCGGTGTTGCTAGTAACTGACATATCGTGTTAATGTGTGACATTCGTTACAAGGTATTGAAAAAAAAAAATGATTTGAATAAATAGAACATGATTGAAATAATCTTGATCATAAATTAATTCGACTTTGTAATCTCACTGTTCAAGAAGTGCGCATATATTTTGTGTAATTATAATAATAAAGATATTTTTATATTTAATTTACAATTATATTTAATATGATAATACCAATCAAAATGCACGATTAATTAATCTTTGTTCCGCGTTGTGTATAAGGCTTAAAATTCTGAGAAGGAAAATTAGATTGCAAAATTGATAAGTGCTGATTTTTCATATATCGATAAATAAAAGTCACTAGCAACACTGTGACAGGTGACATTCAGATCCGATCGCGAATTGATGCTGAAGTACGCTGCCACCGGTCGCAATCTGACGATAATTGGCGCATCTTTCATGTACACCGCTGGCATCATTTATCACTTAATTCTGCCCTTCTGTACCGAACACAAAGTCAACAATCAAACTATCAGACCGCTCGTGTATCCGACCTATAGTAAATTTAGCCAGTCACAAATTAGCCCAGTATATGAAATCGTGTATGTGGCTCATTGCATGTGCGGATACACCATATACTCGGTGACAGCCGGTGCCTGCGGATTGGCCGCCTTGTTCGCCACTCATGCATGTGGCCAAATACAAATACTTGTATCACGACTAGAAGATCTCTTAGCTGGTGAAAGATTCGAACAAAACCCGAATGTTCATCACCGAATCGCTGCCATCGTGAAAAATCACGTACGAGTAATAAGGTAATGTATTACGATTCACATGTTTTTCTAAAATTTTGCGATAATTTATCGATATGGAAAAATTAAAAGTTACAATTAGAAAATTTAATTATTTTCAGCTTAAGTTGCAAATAAAAAATTTTTTTAATTATACTAATGACACACAAATTTGTTCGAGTCTACAACTCAATACATATAATTGATTTAGTAAGGGAATAATTTCAATTTGTTAATATTACTGCATTAATTCCGTTCATATAATTTGTTTAATTATTATTATTTCATCGTACTATATACTACATGAATATAATACATGGAAAGAACAATTTTACTGAAGTATCTAAAAATTTAGCTATAGATACAGATTTGAAAATAATTTTATTGGACCTTCAAAATAATTATGTAGAAAATTCAAGTTGATTGCTAAAATGTCAAAATTTTTTACAGTATTATCATCATACTTCAACGACCTACTATAATTATTTTGATGGTGCAACAAAATTATTTTCAGATCTGTACCTAGCTAAATTTTTAGATACTTCAGCACCGTTCTTTCCGTGATAAGAAAGTAAATGCAACAGGTGATTTCAACCAACCTCCGTCCATAGGCGGTGCTACTGCGCGTCAGACAATGCGCAGATCATAAGCATGCGTATTATATGTATATCGGCCTGTTATATGTCCTATCTATTTGCACCATATACCGACTTTAAAACACATACTTATTATATATATATATTATATTATTTATTATTTATTATATTATTATATTATTTATAGTTAAAATAATAGCAGAATAGAATAAATGAGGTAATGCATTCAAATTTTCTTATATAAACTAAAGGGACTTATTTCAGGTTTGCGTCTGTGGTAGAGGAAGTTTTGCAGGAAGTGTGTTTAGTAGAGTTCAGTAGTTCTGTATGTACAATATGTCTGCTCGAATACTACTGTATAGTGGTGTGTTAACATATATTAAAAGAAAAGAAAAATTTGATAATTTTTAATAAAATAGTCTGTAAAATTACATTTTCTATTTAAAATTTAATAGGATTGGAAAGCGGACGATAGAATTGGTCTTGCGACTTATTTTCTGCTTTTCGTGTCATTCTGCTTTAATATTTTCATATTATGCTATATCGGCGAGGTCCTCATGGAAAAGGTACGTCTTTATTTTTCATATATAGGTACCACATTTAATTTCGACAGCGCTAATAATTGGATAATAATTCGTGACTGGTTTTGCAGAGCAGTCAGATTGGATCAATATGCTACATGATTAATTGGTATCAACTATCGCCAAAATCAACTCGCAGTCTTATATTGATAATCGCGATGGCCAGCCATCCTATAAAATTCAGTGCTGGTAGAATGGTAGATTTATCATTAACGACTTTTGGAAATGTGAGGCATTTATTAATTTTAGCCCATCTTGTATCTTATATCTTTTATTCTACCTTCAATTTTAAAACTCAATAATTCTAAAAAAATTAATATCTCCAGAATTATTTGATAATGTTGTATAATAAATGTAGCAATAAATTTCATTCTAAAAATTGTAAAAAACTAAAGTACAGCTAAAAAATTTCATATTTTAATAAAATTTTTTTAGGTATTGAAAACTAGCGTGGCGTATTTGAGCTTCCTACGGACGTTAGTGATGTAAATATAATTATAATTATGTAACATACATATGTTTAGAAATATTTTAAATTTGATCTAATTAAACTATTCAACATAGAATATTAGTATAGCTTTTATATTGATAATCACGATGTCGAACCATTCCATTAAATCAATGATTATACATGACATTTATACGTTATGACTTAAATTCTATTTCAAAATTTAAAATAAAACTTGCGGTATACACATACAATATTTTGTGAAAAATTAATTCATATCTCTAGTTATTCAATCATCATTCGTATAAAATAACTTAAACATTTCATTATAAAAATTGTAAAAAAAAAATTATAAAGCAGAAAGAATATTTTACTTCAGATACTTTTTTTAGGTAATGAAAACTAGCGTGGCATATCTAAGTTTCCTACGTACGTTAATAAATATATGGAATTATGTGACAAAGATAGAAAAAAATTATTTTGAATTTGATTTAATTTATCAATTCAACAAAAAAAATCTTTCTCCTTAAAATCTATATATAATATGATATTATTTATCGAATAAAACATTACATCTCTATATTAGATATACGCGTCTCTGCACTTTCCTTACCTTATTATAATTCTTGTCATTGAACCACCTATGTATCTAATGTATCACCAAATAATTTCAACTTTTTATTTTTTATATAATGCGCGCTAACAAATAATTTTACTTGGATAGTTAACTAGAGAATGTTAAATTACAAATGTGTTAATTTCCTTCTTATCTTAACTTCTCTGATTTCTCAAATTGCCGATTAAAGAATAATTTAACTGAAACGCGAGAGAAGTATATCTTTTCGATCTAAAACCACCGAGACGTAAGATACGCATCGCACAACTACCCTTCTGTTAATCACACGCATATGTCAGACTATCAGCAGGCAGAAAGATGCCCCGTAACAAGAGCGCAAGCGCATGTCCAGCGACCTTGCAATCAATGCCGCGCGTTCACCCGATGCAGTCTTTAACAGAACCTGTCATTGCGAACATGGAAAGCTCACAGGATAAGCATGTAGTGTCGCCGAACGTCAGTTATCAGCAGGACATACGATATATCTTCAAGCCCGGTAATTGGATCCTCGGCTCAATCGGCATCTGGCCTGTCGCGATTCGCGGAATCGGACGACATGCATACAAGATCTCGATCGTACTATGTAATCTTGCGTTAGCTTTCGCGATAGTGCCTTGCGTTCTGCACATGATCTTCGACCAGAAGGACCTCAACATAAGGCTGAAGCTCTTCGGGTTGCTGGGCTTCTGCACTACCGCGATGATGAAGTATTGCGTTCTCGCGATACGTCGACCCAAAATATTACGCTGCATCGAGCACGTGAAGAGTGACTGGTGGCAGGTCGGTGTTGTCAATATGTAAAGTGCGTTACGCAGTCAACAAAAAATTTTCAGCGTAATGATGACAAGTGGCGATTCATTTCTTTTTCTTGCGAGTACAAAAAATGCGCGACGAGAAAATGATTAATGTGATCTTGATTTTGAAGTAATCCCATATTTTTTAACAAGTCTTTCGACTTTATATAAACTCACTTACTTCATATTCTTGAATGTAATTTTTACTGTGTTGTTTATACGAATACGGATTGAGCGCGCAGATCTAGCGTTGCAACAGAATACGCTAGTGTTGCAATATCAAAAATATGATTTTTTTCCGTAAATAATTTCTTTAATTGAATGAATTATTGCAACGAGATTTAAAACCGCCTTTTATGCATTGACAAAATTTAGATCTAATTATTCCAAGTCTGCGTGTATAATTTTCCATGTTCACAAAACAAATCTCGTTTTCGAATGATTCTATCCATCTTATAATTTTAGTGATAAATAATGATTTTCTTGTCGCTTATCTCTTTTGATAAATACAATTTTTTGTAATATTGGCAGGCAAAATTCAGCTCCGATCGCGAATTAATGCTGAAGTACGCTACCACCGGTCGTAGACTGTCTATGATCGCCGCGACTTCCATGTACATCGCCGGTTTTATTTATCATACAATTCTACCGTTCTGCACCGAACACATAGTCAACAACCAAACTATTAGACCACTCGTGTATCCAACTTACAGTAAGTTTTTTAAGACGCAAGCGAGTCCGATATACGAAATAGTGTATCTGGCTCACTGCGTGTGCGGATACACCATGTATTCAGTGACGGCCGGATCGTGCGGATTGGCAGCAATATTCGCCACTCATGCGTGTGGTCAGATCGAGGTGATCATGTCTCGACTTGAGGATCTTTCGCGTGGCAAAAACTTCGAGCAATTGTCGGACGTTAATCAACGAATTGCTCTCATCGTGCAAAGTCATGTTCGAATATTAAGGTAACACAGTTACGTACATTTTTGTGAAATTAATACCATGTTTTCAAAATTTCAATATAATTAATAGAGTTTCGATGTGTGTTTCTTCCAAGAGTTTTTTTTTAATTCTTATTATATTTTAAAAAGTATCCTAGTAAATAAATATAAAAAATAAGAGCCTGAAAATAAGAATGCCTCAATTTTATATTTTTGTTACAAATCGCTAATTAATTATTTGATTTTAAAATCAATTTATAACATTTTCTAATAGCATTCCTAAGGTTCTTCAAAATTTTTAAAAATCCGCGAAAAAATTTTGGAAAACTTTGGAAAATTGTTATCTCTATCTTTACATTATTTATATCACGTACATTTCTATGTTTACTCTATTTTTATTTGAATATTATTGATAGAATTCGAACTCTCCTCTAAAAAAATCTAAAATTTTTTTCTATAAAAAAATATATTTTAGAGTATATTTCGAGAAAAAATTCTAGTTATTAACAAAACTTTTTTGAATAAAATAAAAAAATTATAAAATGGAAAATTTTTTATTTTATTCAAAAAAATTATTTTGAGTGTTAATAGCTAGAATTTTTTCTTTTTGGATATGAATTTTCCATTTTATAATATAGTATATAATTTTTCATCACGACTTGAACAACGTATAAAGGGCGGGTAAATGCAACAAGTGCCTTTAACGGATCCTCCAATACATTTCAGTGGGCGGTGCAGTTACATTCCTACGGATTATGCGCAGGTCATGAGCATGCGCTTATATTCTCAACGAATGCATATATACATATACTTCTTGGTATATAAAGCCGAATCCAGACTATGCAAGCGAGCGCGAACAAACATAAACGAACAATATTTGCTTGAACTGGTAGTATGGCAACATTGTTCACATTTAGCAAGTTGAAACAAGTTGTTCATTCATATATTTGTTTGCGTTCACTCGTTTAATCTAGATCCGACTCAGCATCTTTGAACAAATAATGCGTAATAACATTTTTTCTTATATTAAATATTACTGTATTATATATGCACACATACACACACACATTCTTATTAAATACAATTATAAAATATTCTTTACGCCCAAATCGCAAAATGACAAAACTCCTTTTTTTTTTATCTTTATTACATACCTTATATAGAGCTATTTGACAATGCAAAGAATGAGAAGTTCATATACACGGAAAGAAAGGATTAGCTACCGTAGCTATTTAGTTGTAAAATAACTGACATTTTTTGCAGCAAGAGCTTTAACTTTAACAAAAGATTTTGCTACTATTCCTATAAATTATATCACTCGCTGCAAAAAATATTAATTGTTCCTATTTTACAACTAAATTTGCTACAGTAGCTAACCCTTTTTTTCCATGTAAAAATTGACTTCTCACGTGCAAGTAATAGCGGTCTGTTTCAGATTTTCCGCCGCCGTAGAAGAAATTCTACAGGAAGTGTGTTTACTGGAATTCGCCAGTTCCATATTCACAATGTGTTTGCCCGAATATTACTGCATAGTGGTACGCTCTAATATGTATATTAAAAAAAGAAAGCCAACTTTTCTTTAAATCTTAACTTAGATTAAATTGCTACTAACTTTTAATAGGACTGGCAAGATAGTGATACAGTAGGACTAACGACTTACTTTCTGCTCTTTGTTTCATTCTGCTTCAATATGTATATACTATGTTACATTGGCGAACAACTCGTGGAGAAGGTATATTTAGACTTAATATAATTTAGAAGCATTTAAATTTTGTAACGTTTAATTATTTGATTTTCGTATAAACATGGAGCTGCTGTAGTGAAAAATGAGTGAAATTCAGGATATGTGGAACATTTTTCAACGATTTGACGTTTCAGAGCAGCCAGATTGGAAGGAGGTGCTTCATGATAAATTGGTACCAGCTGCCGGCAAAGTCAATTCGTAGTCTAGTTTTAGTGATCGCTATGTCCAGCCATCCCATAAAGATCAGCGCTGGCAGAATGATAGATTTATCACTGGCGACATTCGGAAATGTAAGGGATTATACGAGGCATTTACGTGAAATTAATCTGACGGCAGAAAATTTAAAAAAAATAAATAATCGATATTCCAAAATTATTTAAAAGCGCTTTTATTTTTTCTGTATATGCCCTTATAAGAGACCGCAGTTGATAAGCTAAATTACGAGAAAGTCTCGGAGAAAGTAATATGTATTATTTTAATATAACTTTTTATTAGGTACTCAAAACAAGTCTGGCATATTTAAGTTTTCTTCGAACGTTAGTAGTGTGAATATGGGAATGCTATGGCAAGTGCCTGAAAGGATAATATCAACGATGTCTCTCTCCTTTATAATAGAATCCTCATAGATCAAACGTGAGCATCTTAGTAAAATAATCAATTTCTGGAAAAATTAATTCTTCCACAAACTTTTCCTCTTTTCTAAACATGTATATAATTAATTTTACCACAATTTTATTGTATCTTTTAGTTCATTGATTAAACAGCGTTCAATATATGATACGATATGATATCGTATTAATTTTATATATCCATATATAAGTGTTTAAAAAATTTAATATAAAAATTTAATATTGCTAATATTGCTATTTTACATTTGTTCGATACGAAATCATGTGGTGATAGGGTGATAGTCAGCTGATTGCTGGTGATTTTTACCGATTGCTGGTTAAATTACTGCATGCTGTCAGAGAGGCACAAACTGACACAGTATAGTGTTTTCCAAGCAACAAAATATGACCAAAATATAATTAATATTCCAAATAAAAATATATAACTCGTGTAAATAAATAATTATTGTGATCGTTTCTATGAGAGTGTAAAAAATGTAATGTATCGGCGACTCCAGTTTTCGCAGCTGTTGTTTTTATTTTTCCTAACCTATCTATTATACTGCAAATTTACCTCGTGTAACAAAGATTTATATACTTTTGTAATATCCGATCGTACACAAAATTTATATACCTAAAACGAGAGAGAAACGAGTAGTGTACGTGTATACTGGTAATATAATAGAAATTAATCGGATATAATTTAATAATACAGTATACAATTTACGAACAAAGTATTTTTGACAGAAATTGGATATGTTGTGGAAATGTAAAAATGCCCTAATTTCTCCTAGTACAATTTTTTAATATTTACTAGACAAGATTTCTAATTGTATTAAAATGTCAGAGTACGTTAATGAATTGGTGTGAAAATTGCGTTATAAATATTACTATCGCAAAATGTCTGAAAAAAATGCGGTTGGTGGTATTCCTGTGGAGTGTCTAACTGGAGAATCAGCTGCAATTTGGTCTGGCTGGCGTACACTGAGAGACAGAGAACTTGTGAGAGAAGCCTCTGCCAAGGGAACTCATATAAAACTAGCTCATAAATGCCTTGCGTACAGAAGAAATTGTACTGTAGAGCAGGCATGTATATATTTCAACAAAGAAGTAGAAAATTGGGTCAATGAATTATTAAGCAAGAAGCAGGTTTATAGAGCTTCACATATTTTAAAAAATATGGTATGTCGTATATATTAATATTTTTTTCCAAGATATATTATAATTAACAAAGTTCGAAGTAATGGTTAAAAGAATAATATATTTATACAGTCAATTTAGACAGTTTAGAAAAACGCCATTTACAGTCCGGACTGGTTCCTGGTAGCCTAATAATAATGTTGTGTAAATTACGTATACTTTTTACCATAAATAGCGTTTTTCTTTCTAAATTGATTGTATCATCGTGTTTCACTTATTTTATTATATTTATACAGATTTATATTTTAAACAGATAATAATTTTTTTTTACAGGGAAAGGATCCTGTGGAACATATTTTTGCTGTTTCTATAAAAAGCAAGGATCCAGTCTTAAGAGACTATTTGTGTGAATATATGATAAATGTCGATGGATTTAAGACTGAACATGTCACGGCATGGAACATTACCAAATCTATTAAGCAACATGAGGAAAAGTGCAAGTAAGTTGTGAAAATAGAAAATACATACATATCACGTAATAGAAAAAAAAATATATTAACAAATTATCTTCTTATTTTAGAATCCAAAGTGGATTAAGTTCTTGTATATGTATAGATGATATAATGAAACTACCACAGAATATTGAACAAGCCTTACGCACCGAATTATATTTTTCTTTGAATAACCCAGAGATTTTGGGAAACGTGTCAAATAATATTTTGTGGGATTACTTATTATCTAATAATAAAATTAATGCTCTAAGAATATGGATTGATACAAAATATAATCCAGACGTTCTCGAGATCTCAGATAAAATTGATCAACATTTGAAATCGTTATTTGCGAATTTAGATATTACACCTGATATGGTCGATTATATAGATTCTTCAAATGCTAGTGACCTCGTAAAACATCTAACCAAAAATTATTTATGTAGGTACGTATACAACTGTTTTATGTGTATTTATATTTTTCTTTGCTGATGTAATGATAAATCACAGAGAAAATGTCCAAATTTATTGTTTCAGATATGGCATTTATACAAAAGAAGAAAAGGACGACTTGAAATTAATATTAAATCGTTCTTTCGGCTGTGGTATTACGCTGGAAGAACTTAGTACAATATTATCTTTAGCTTCCTGCAATATCGATAAATCAGAATTTTTGCAAAGCATCGATCAACAACTGTGCCTTGCACACTGCTCGCAAAACTGTCATACTGAGGAAGACAATTTAAAAGTTAAAAAATTATTTAATGCTTTAACCGATATGTGTAACGCTCGAGATAACTACGAAGATGCGTTACTACATGGAATCGTAGAATCGATTGATTATATTTCCGATGATTTTAATGCTTATCTGAAAGCGAATTATTTAGTAAACTTGACATTAATATTTTTACGATTATGGCAGACGCGGAGCGCGTTGTGTAATGAAGCAAACCCTTCAGGGAGAAATACACTAATAAGAGATATATTTACGAACAAGACTGTTTTAAAAATTGACACGCGTGTTATTTCCCAAGAAGTTCTTCAGTCCACGCTTGCACATATGCCGAGGCTGCAATGTATCATCGAGGATCAAAGTGAAAAAGATGATATTACAGTATACGACTTATTGGACGGCTATAGAAATTTGAATTCGAAATTCTTATTCAAGTGGCGCTTCAAAAATGAACCCTTGCCTACTTTCACGAACGAAAGTCTGATCAGAAAATACGGGTATCAGGAAACGCTAACGTACGGTTATTATCTGAAAGAAGGCAGACCGAATATGGCTGTGCACAGTTTAACACACGCTCAAGCGAAATTACTTGGAAATGTATCCTCCCATAGGTTCGTATATTTGCGATGTTAATATTCATTTTATCGTCATTAACGTCAACAACTCAAATAATTTTAGGAAATTCAAAGCGGCCTTATATGCGCACGTTCTCGCTTTGAGAAACTTAGATAAGTCTGATATCGTGTGTAGCTGCATTGCGTTCATCGAGTTGCTGAGAATCGACTCGAGCAATTTACGATTACACGTTACTGTGGCAAAATACGTACAAGAGCAACTAAACATCTCCATAGGTAATGTAGCTTATGTAATTGATATGTGATGATATCGGCATGGAAAAGTATTTTAAATGACATTCTTTATTATACAGGGAGCTTATTAGAAAATGTAGTGTATAAGAATCAAACTGATTTAAAGTCTGTGATATCGTATCTTGAACAAAGCTTTCAAAAACATTTATTGGATAAACCTTTCATGTGCGATAACACGCAATTTGTCGAAGCATTGAAATTATGGGACATCATCGTACGCTTTGCACGTGTTCACAACTATGCGCTACCCGATACGTTGCCGAAATATTTAGCAGATCATGACCTGTGGTTCGAATTCATTGCAGTCTGTCATATATTCGCTTATCCTAAAACCCAGGTACGTTTCGAAATATAACGCTGTTTAAAATAAGGCTTATAAAAATAAAACACGAATCAATCACGTACTAGATGCTGGAAAACACCAGATTGTTTAATAACGCAAACATACGGGAACACCTGCTAACGTGTTTAAACAATGATAAACTTAGCAAATCCCAACCATATAACAAACAGAAGATGAAATTTCACGACAGACAATCATCATCAAGGCAGCATAAAGTTGGAGTGAAAGAAAATGTAAGATTGTTATTGCTTGTTGATAATTTTATTTTTTGTACGTAAACAAAGTAATTCTCCAGGAATCACCAGTGTCCACCTCAGCCATATCAGAAACTGAGATAGATGCAACTGATACAACTAGTGCCAAAGATATTTCCAACAGTTACACCTCGACTTCTTCAGATAATAACTTATGGTTGACTATATTAAACTGTCATCAAAGTCAAGACCCACCCGGAGCATTAATTAATGCGTCTCGCTCAAATCTGAGGCCTATATTGACTGTCTTAGCTACGTGTTACGAGGTGTTACTTTATTTTGATTGATATTAGTACTAATCAGGTTTTATCGTTCATTATGCGACTTAAAAATCTCGTGTTTATAGCCGTCGTCTGTAGCAGCATATTGCTATTGTTGGATGGTAATATCGACAGGAAGAGAGGACATACTTCTTGATTACACGGAATGTCTTGAGCAACAAATATGGCCTTCCGATAAAGTATCGGAATTACTAAATAAAATGGTTCGATACGGTTATATTAACACAGTCAATCGGGCTTACAAAATTTTCATGCCTGTAAGTTCAATTAATATAACAGCGATGGTCGAAGATTCTTCATTGTAATTAGTACTGATGTCTTGCAGGATAGTATTTTGAATTCATTCTTCGAGTTTTTGATGCAAGCAATCAGTTATGGCGAATTCAAGGAAAATCAACGGCATTTAATAGAGTTTAAGTCGCAATGTTCCTCACTTAAAAGCAATGTACGTACAGAATTACAATGAAACAACTCCAATATACTAGCTAGCTCACACAGCTCACACGGCCTTTTATCTTTTTTAGAAAATTATGGATTGGGATAGTGTCCATTTTACGTATTTAAAAAACTTGTATTGGGTCGCAGTTGTTGCAATCCAATGCATTGTTACGGCACTCGGCTACGGCTTTCGAAGTACGCCATTACGAGTAAAGTTTCTTGAAGCGTTAATAAAGTGTAATTTTTCAGCAGATTTACCAGGTAAAATATGTGACATGAGTATATGCAATTTTTTTTATATTAATCTGTCCTACTAGTTGCAGCAACTTGTGAAAATTGTTATTGCAGGTGCTGTACCGGATTTTCAACGTTTGTTGGATATAACGAAAATTCTGCAGAAAACTAGCGTGACATTAAATTTCAGAGCAATTACTCTAATCGATAACGCATATAATTTTGACACGGAAATTCAAAGATGCATCGACGATTTAACAGCAGTCGAAAATTACAGCACTGCCTTGGAATTAGCATGCTGCGCCGGGTTAAATGCATCTGAGATCATATTAGCACAAGTAATATCTTTCAAAATTGATTAAGAAGTCGAACACTCTTTATATTACTATATATACATTTTTTCTACAAATATAACATTTTCAGGCTCGAAATACTTTCAAACAATCAATAAATGGAGATGGTCAAGTAAATTCTACCTTCTGGACGCAATGTGCTCAGGATTTTAATAAATATAACGTTCCGCTTCAAGTAGCGGTTGAATTCTTTGTCGAACATGCCGAGAAAGTTGTATCGCACAAAGAAAGGTAAATAAGTATAACGCAATGCTAGATCTATTACTAAATAAGTAATCAATTATTTTTTCTAGATATGAAGTTTTGAAATTGGCTTATGAGACTTTGAAAAATACCGAAATCGAGCAAAAAATTATCGATACTTTAGAGATGGCAATGTGGAAATCATGTATTTTAGCTGGACCTGAAAATATAGAGTTCGACTACAATAATTATACTTTTAATAAATTAAAAACGGAGTTATTATCTGGTTTGGATAAGTTACAAGTGACTTGCTCCTTGATAGACGAAAATGAAAAAAATGCTGTAGAAAATCTAATAAATAAATTACTTGATCTGCGCAAGTTGGATATTGCCTTACGAATAAGCGTAATTTTTAATTATAATCATAAGGTAAATAGCATTCCTTTATTTTAAGATTTATAGGTATACTATTAAATTTAAAAGTATTATTTTTTTTATAGGATCTGCAAATATTGATGTTGTGTTTAAGCTTAGCAGAGGGTGAAATTTCACCAGCGAACTTAACTTCGCAGCAAAAGAGTCTTTTGGAAGAAAGGAATCAGAAGCAACAAAAATATGGCACTTTGCGTAAACGCGGTCTGCAGAGATTTTCTTCATCGTCATCCTGTATGTCTCACGATTTTCTTTAACACACATTGATATATATATTAATATTTCTACACTTCTATCTTCTATCTATCTAAAAATATTCTTCAATGTTTTTATATCTTAATATACTTCATTTTTTTTTACAGTAAACACCATTTCGTCGATCGAAGCTAACAAAACAAACGATACAACAATCAGCCATCTCCAGATGGAGTGTATTTCAACTTTAGAAAGATTATCGGAAATTCTTACACATGGAAATGAGATATGCTTTAGAATTGTTTCATATTATAAACTTGCTACGCGTTTAGGGAAGACATATCAATCACTGTTGATGCTAAAAGATCCGATAAAGTTCTTACAAGAGATTATAGAAAGTAACATTGAAAATAAATTGGAGACTGCTAACGACATAATAATATCTTACAAAATTAAGACGGAAGACGTGGCAATATTCCTGGCCGATAATATTACAATGCACATAAATTGTGCCATAGAAGGTAATTATGAAAAAAATCTCTTATTTTTTACTTCGAATAATTATCTTAATATCAAACATAATAATATTCCAACAGATGGTCAGGAAGATTTGATTTTTATGTGGAGCTATTCCTTGAATTCGCACTTTCATTTAATAATGGAACTGTGCAGCGATATCTCGTTATTAGGCTTAAAATTGTTGAAGACAGCACAATCATTGCTGGGAAGATACATTAGTACTCACGATGAAAAAAAAAATGGTAATTTACATATTTTTTTTATTATAGATATTATTTTAAAAATATGATAATATACATATTTCTGTTTATTGCGTTATAGTTTCAGGATTGAAAACAATAGTGGAATTATTGATAAGATCCCACGATTGTTTCACGGCTTCCTGTAACATGGAAGGAATAGCATCAGTATTACGAAAGTGTCAGAGTCTCGCAAATATGTTACAAATCTTAAAATACTGGGCACTACTGGTACATTTATTAATTCCATGTTTAATCAACTACTGCAATGTTAAAAATTTATTTACATTTTTTTTTTCATATTGCTAGGTACGTCTTGTAACTGGTGTTGGGCGATTTACCGAGATGAATTACGTATTCCAAATCTTGAAAGAAAACGATCAATTCGAGTCTTTGTTGGGACAAGGCTTGGATAAGGTATCTTTGCTCGTACGATATTGAATAAACTCTTCCTTTTTATTAAAAAAAAAAAACACTCATGTTTCAATTGAACAGGTTCCGGGCCTAAAAATGGCATTGCTAGAATTCTTGAAGCGTCAATGTCCAGAAGATAAGGAGCTTTTTACTCTAGTGGCGCTTCATTTCCGCCTATATTACGAAATCGCACTCATGTGGGAAAATGAAGCGAAGGAAGTAATTGCAAAATTAATATCTGACATATTAAAAGAATGCGGAAGAGGCATAACTGGTATTCCGGTAGAAATAAAATTGACTCGAAATGATAACGTCCACAAACAATTGCAATTAGCTGTAACTAACTTTACTCATGCTACTCAATATTATTTACAGGTAAAAAAAATTAAATTCAAACGTATGCATGTTTCGAGTAGAAATTACCATAAAAACTAATGTATTTTACTTTCAGGATAAGAAACTGAATCTTGCTAGCCGGTGCTCGCATCAAGCCCAACTTGTCGCGCTTCAAATTTCACTGCTGAACGCAATACCACAAAATCAACAAGCAGAGTGTCTGCTGAATTTGAAAAGCGACGAGTTAGACAGAATATTATCTCACATTTTAAACTTTCCTCAAGCTCTTATTGTTATCCGCGCTTATAATTATCATGCGGATTGGGTTAATCTTATTTATCATCACTGCATTCTCAAAGGAGAGACGAAGTATCTCAAAGAATTCATGACAGTTAACAATCTTACGCCTACGATTGTACAAGATTGTGCACGTAGGTAAGTTTAATATGCGACCTATAAGAGCGTATATCTTATTTAAAATTTAAATTTATATGATTTGTAATTAAATAATATTTTTTTAAAATACTATCATTGTATGTACATCTTTAGGTACAGACTGGAAAAGAGTATCAATCATTCCATGACAGATAACATGAGAACGCTAATATCTGAATTATCAGATGTCGAATGTAAATACATGCTAGCTAGTCAGCTTGGCTTTAAGGATATTGTGGAGGAAATACTCAACGATCCCATAGTGGGCTCCTATTTAAAAGACACAATTTGGAAAAAAGGATATACCGCTTCATGATGTAACTCGTCATTCGATGGAATTCGATGTTATCATCTGAGAAAGAACGCCACAAATGTGACGACAAACTGTCACAAACTATTCATTTATTATTATAATAAACAATATAAATTTATACCTTTGTCAACGTTTTATTATTGATATCGCAATAATTACCAATAAACAGTATTTTTTATATCATGTCAGTCTCATTTAATTAACCCTATAACAAAGCAATTTCATCATCGTAATAGAAAGTAGCTTAGAAAGAAAATTAATATTTTCTAATTAAGAAATAATGTTATTTAAATCATATTATATTGCATATATGAAATCGTATCATACGTTGATATTTTACATTTACCACTGGATGTTACCCTGTGCGCGTAAACTGGTTTTATCGATTTAGGGGTTGCTCAAGTCAAGGGTAGGTACAAGACTGGAAAGAAGCATGCGTCGATAACACGATTCACTTCTATCCTTTAACGTTAGCAGATAATGATGCGTACGTTTTATCTATCGTCTATATCTTTTGAAGGCAATTTATCTGTCATCGCTATTATATTTCTAACCCTTCTAACTAGGCTGTGATAAGAGGTAAAACCGTTGGTGTCAACTGTAACTGCCTGTTCAGCAAAAGATTCGAAACAATGATAACTTGTTGCCTGCCCACGTGCTATCACGATATGATAGATGTACACTGAGGGAAAAATATTGTAGAATCAACAAAACAATTTTGTTGATTTTTCAATTTATTGATCCAATTATTTATTTTATTGAATTAAGTACGCGTCTATTATTTGAACAAAATAAAATAATTGAATTCTGAAAATGGTATCATACAAAATCATTTTTTTTAAATTAATGATTAATTTTGTTAACTCAATAAAATAATTTTGTTGAACCAAGAACATTAACGTTTTTAAAAATTTATTCAAAGAAATGTTTAATGTTATATTATTTCTCTCAGTGTACTGATCACTCATAGATACAATATACATGATCATATCTTAAATTAATAACATTACTGCAAGAACTGATATAATGTAGCCTGAATATTTTTCTACGAAATATTGATTATTAATGAAAACTGTTGATGTTTATAAAAAAAGTCGTATACTAATTTAATTTAGACATATTGTATAGAGTATATAAGCATTTTTTAATTTAAATGTAACAATAAAGCAATATAAAAGTTAATTAACTTCTTCTCTTTTATATAAAAGAAAGCTATTATAATGAAGATTTATCATTGCAGATAGAAGGGGGGGAGGAGACGAAATACAACACGAAAAAGATCGTCAAAAAAGTAATTTCGCGCGATTATTTTAGTCAACGGGAAATGACCCAATTTATCATTTTAAGATCTGCTATATTTTGCGCTGGTGAGTTTAAATGCCGGCGTAACGTGATTCCAAGGTTTATCACTAACATTTAGCATTTTAATGAGTCGGCTTTTTTAAGAGCAAAAACCACGTGTTTATAAACAGGAAGAATAGCGTAAAATAAAAATGCAAAGAATTCTTTATAAAATATGCGTGCGGACTTTTTTATTTCCTTCCTATGTGTGATACACATAAATTTTTTAGTACACCCTTTTTTATTTTACTCTGTATTACCTTTTCAGGAAGGATCAAAGAGTACAATGCCTAAAGAATTCGAGATTTCCTTTTGAAGATAGAGGACACGCGTAGTCAAAGAAATTTCTTCTTTGATGTGCATTACAATTCACTGCTGTTTGAAAAATATTTCCGCCCGACGATTTCACGTACTTAATATGTTAGAATAATAAGATTCTAGCTCAATATTCCACAAAACTTTTAATTAATATATAATTTAGTAAATCTGTAATGATAAATACAGCTCGCTGTGTGTCAAACAAATTCTTGGAATTAGCAAAAGAATTATGTTCACAAAACGTGTTTTGTGTACAATAAAATTTGCCAGTTGGGTCAAACATGATTCTTTTGCTAATTGTTAATTATTCACTGGCGATTCAAGTTCTCCGTTTTTAAATTCTTGGAATATAATATAACCAACCAAATGCGATCATCTCCTTTTTCTTCTAAAAAAAATAAAGCCTCGTAATCTTATTGAACCAGAGTTTCATTCTCATATCATAAAGATAAATTCTTACGTATATTGAGCTTGTATCTTATTAGAGATTCAACGCACGAACGCAATCTATGACGCGCATAAAGAGAGAGAGACGCGGGTATTCTACGCGGGAAAATTTACGTGTAACGTTGGCATCTTGTCCTGTACGCCTCTCCGTTTTCCCGGAATAAAGACCGCTCACCGCGCGTATAATTTCGGTATATTTATGGGATTAATGCTTCCTGCGCGCGATACCCGTATAGAGATGGGTTCTCGATAGATCGATTAGACCAGCTGGCATAGGCACGCGCTGCTAAGCCGCTTACGTCGTCCCCAAAAACTTTTGCGCTTTTTTGGAAATTCGCGCGCGTCCCATAATCCGACAGGCGCTGGCATTAACAGTAATTTCAAGGGAATGGATTGATAATTGATTTCGTAGGGGATCAGCCAAGAGACGCATCGTCACACGGATCGTCGTGCGCATACGCGCGCATGTAAAATGCACGCACCTATGTCGCGTGTCTCTACCATACGGAATGCCTGGTACGAGATTACGCCTATAGCTCTCGTGAATCCTTTTGCATTACCCTCACCGTAATACGTAAAAGTAGGATAATAACAGATCCGATAATACCGGATCAAACCGATATCCGCTTATTTTCGATATCCGCGATTTTTAATGCATTATATAATAAATTGCTACATTAAAGGAGGTACACACAGTAACTTGTTTAAGCGTAATCAAGTATTAGCTATCGGATTTTACTCTCGCTTTGTTGTACCTCTTCTCGTAAAAATAGACGGTTTAATTAAGGGGATCCTATAGCGAAGGCCGAACTTCCTCGACGTCGGTAATGTCAACATTTCTAATCCTGTTTTCTATGTTATATATCTATGTCTGTCCTTGTCTAACCAGAGGCATCTGTCTTTGTTCGATTGCTGCGCCATCTCTCGCTACACGCAATACTGCTTATCCTGTCAACCTAAATGTGCTTTTGCTTAATAAAACTTCATTTTACGGAATCTTTTTTTCTAGACGTTGAATCTTAATTTTATTTACACGATATTGTTCCTACATGTTGTCCCTACGTCGCCTTGGTGTCATTATATATATATAAACTGCAGTAATTTTGTTATTGTCGTCAGATGACAGTTGTATGTGCCCAAATTAGTAAAATTTTTAATTTTTTTTTGTTTCCGATATGAAATCGTACAACGCGATGTAGATTTTTGTGCGTACTTTAATTCTAGACCAAAAACTTGCAATTCTGTAAAGCCAATTCAAAAATTCCTTAAAATGAAAAAATGTCGGTAACTACCGCCACTATAGGATCCCCTTAATCTGCATATATCGGTTTTTCCCCCCTACCTCCGTACATGTTATTACAAAAATAAAATGTTCGTGTCAAAAATTCTATTAAGATATGCAATCTGAAAATAAATGCTGATTGCTTAATAATATTATCATTAGAGAGTCTTACACATTTGACTCTATTCAACTAGATACGATACGAGTACAAGATATTCAAGCCTTGATATATATGACGTAAGATCGTCCATTTATCGACACGTTAATTGAATATTAAAATCTGATGTGAAGTCAATAGCACGCAATTACGAAAGTACCTTCGGTTACGACATAATTAATAAATAAGCTTCATTATTAATTATACTCTTTTTGTAATGACAGTTATACCGACGTGCTTTGTCCCGGAGAAACAGTCCCGATAGTGTGTGTTTTAGCAAAACAGGCTATTCTTCCGTAGCCACAACTGACGCGAAGAAAAAGCGGACGCCACATCTTAGATACTATATAGGGTTAAACTCAGCGTGCCACGAACGCGAGTAATCGATATATATATATATATCAATTTCATGATGCAACCATTGAATATCGATGTCCAACCTTTGCAATAAAGTGCGATAAGCGCGCGCACGAGTTTCTAAAGGATGGCTTAATGATGCGCTTTGCTATAATTAATTCGTGTGCTCTCGCATTAAAAGTGGTGGTATTGTATTCGATCGAAATGAGCAAACTCATTACGAGTCACTAATGTACATATTCTCGTATTATTGTCAGGCTGGATAATTACGAGATACAATTGAACGCCGATTATATGACGATCATAATATCGCGACATTCATATTGCAATAATTTTTTATATTCGACCAATTGTTACCTCGCCAAACACACATCCTACAGAATTATCAAACATTAAACAGAAATATCAAACGTTAAAACGACCCAGTTCTCGACGTTTACGGTCGGACATTCGGACGAAAGGGGCGTAATTCTGAGTTATGCCGAGCATTTTGCCGAAGATTACAAGTTACAAATGAGAGCCATATATCCAGGGATTACATCCCGCTTGATGCGGTATTGAAAGAAGACCGGGCTCGGCCTGAGTAAACAAGTTCCTCGGCAATTCGTCGCAGTTCAACTCGCAGTTTGGCAACGGCAGATCCCTAATAAAGAACGTCGATAATGCGCGAATCCGCCGAGACATATGCTTATGATAATAATCGTGTAATTCATTGATCTGCCGGAAATTACGAGCAAGGACACTTCGCAGCCTTCCCTTGCAACTCCCCTTGCTTCTTCAGACCCTTTCTGGCTTTACTGGTATGTTGAATGAGTAGAGAAAAAACCGTCCTGAGAAAATACATGCTAATGCACCCTACATATCTCTCTGCCAATATTAGAAATGGTAATAATAATACAACGACATCGATATCTTTCTTTACTTTGTTATTTTCAGCAAGCGCAGTTTCAGCTCAACAGCGGTGGAAACGTGATCAATAAAATCTAATTATTGGGAAAACTGCCGATCCGCTAAGCTTTCGGAGTTAAGCCGATCAAAGGGAACGGCTGGTATAATATGGTGAGATGAATAAACTTGTCGCTCTCCCTCTCGAATCTGTAGTATTATTACGTACGATTGTGCATATCTTGCGATTCAAAGATTAATAAATATTCAACAATAAAAAAGTCAATTAATTCTCTGGATATTACTTTTTAAATCTCATATTGGGAATTCTATTCAATTTGTATTCTCAGACGTGCAGATAAGGAGA